CACACACACACACACACACACACACACACACACACACACACACACACACACACACACACACACAGCAGTGTGGTGGATAAATCATCTGAGGTTTCTTCCTAGTTGCACTGGGTACAGGTGCCCTGAGCTAAGAAAAGTGACAAAGTTGAATTTCTACCTTGGTGTTTTTTTGAAGCATAAGTTACCCTGGCTTTTGGTTATGTAAATCATATTCATGCCCTTTGGGCAACATCTGTGTGGCAAAGATGCTGTTCAAGTTTGCAAGTTGGTTATATGACTTTATACCAGGCTCGAATGGTCTTGATTTTGTCTCACTATTTTCTTGCTCTTTATTTGCAGATAGTGAAATCAGAGTTATCCAAAGAATATCACTTTATTAAAATGAAAAGATCAAGGAATCATATCGTGGGAAAATATTTCAGCAATCAAAGCAAACTACACCAGCAAGACTCTGTAACAAATTTTCAATCATCGTATCATGTCAGAGGCCCAATAAATCAGGTTTGTTCTGAAATCCTTCTCAGCAGGATGTGTGCGAGTAAAAAGACTGTGTAGGCTCCCTGCAGGAGAACTGACTTTGGACTTGGAGACAAGCCACTCACCTGGACAATGGTCTAGGAGCCAAACCCTGTGCATCGCACACATTTTGGATTGACCACACACACTCGTGCTCACTGACACACACGTCTACACCAATACACACATAGCTAAAACAAAGTAATAAAGCACTTTTCTTACAGTTTTATAAAGTCAAGATGTGAATTTGAGCATCAGTTTGTTTCAGAGTGAAAGCTAAACCTAGAAAAGGGTTACTTGAAATATAACAATAAGCCAGAACCACTGTGAGCTAGGTATTGCATTGTGATAATAAAGAGAAATATAGCACTTGAATTATGTGGAAAAGAGGATATTGCTCTCTAGTCTTATGTTACCATCTCTATAAGTACATTAATATTGAAAAGGGGGAAACGAAATTACATTCCACTTGCAAGCAGAGGCTGTGCTCGCGTTCTTTACCAGGAGAAAATGTGGCATTTATGATAGCTTAGGCTTTGTGAACCTAGTGCTTATGAAAAACATTTCTTCCTACATGGTACTTTTAAAATTTTATTACTGAAAGGAAAAGAACAGGAATGTTCCACGGGAGAATTTGAAGAGATTCTATGAGACATAAAGTGACATATTTTCAGTAAAAACACCAATCCATTTAACATTTGCACTTCTTGTGTTTTTCATAGACATTCCCTCCTGTCCTGTCTGTGAAATTGGATGGGTAACTGCAGTCTGAATTGATCAAATACATAATTCTAAAGTGAACAACAAACAGTAGTCTCTCACATATTACTTTGTTTCATTGAAGATATTAATTATTTAAAAAAACTCTTGTTTACCATTATCACCCTATATAACCTAGAATTAAAATTACATTTTATGTAAATATTCTACAAAAAATACATTCTTACATGCACAGGCATTTTTATAAATCATTTGTATATGCCCGCAAATAGTATTATTTTACTAGTATCTATATTTTAATTTTTCTGAGCACTTGTATTGAATCCAAATTTAAAATGGGCATAAATTATGAATTAAAACCGTGGCATATATATTTAACATATCTAATTTTAGTATTGAGAACTTTCTTTTCTATCTCTTTAAGTTCAAAGTGGTAAATTTCTTTATTACACAAATTCTTTGTTGTGAGAATTATATCATAATTATAATGTCTTTAAAGGATTGTCTTTAAAGGATTGTTTTTCTTTGGGGGGGAGAAAGAAGCTGAGATGGTTAATTTAATATATGGCTGAAATTACCAAATGTGCAAATACCTCAATTTCACTACTATACACAAACAGAAATTATTTTGATTGATCAATTCCTTAGTGTGAATATCCACCACCTTTAAATACTCTATTTTTATATATATTTTTGTATGAAGATAAACGTGAATTTATATTTAACTGTCTTAAATTATATTTACATAAATGCAAACATCACTTGATATAAACAATGTAGATCATCTTACAGATGATAGATTTTTAAAAGAATGGTACAGAATTGTTTAAAAATGAAGATTTTTCTAGCATATGCACTTAAATGCAAGCATTATTTTTAGGTTTTCAGTGATTTTTTAAAAATTGTCATAAAACAATGCCAATAATGCAGCCTCTTTGTCCTGTCTTAACATGTTGGATATGCCATAACAGTATTACAGTCAGTTGGTATTTCCTATAATTTACTTTTCACCTAAATGTAATAATCATCAGACTGAAGTCAGTCTAGCGTTTACGTTTTCACCATTGAAATAATAATGGATTTTAGGAACAATTGTAATAACGTTATTAATAAATGTCTTAAGAGTAATAGTCTGTGTTCAGAGAGTACCTTTTATTTTCCTTTGTAGTAAAAATATACAACCATACAGTAACCAGTTGGCAAGCACAGTATCATGTGGGTTCAAGTAGTGGAGTGTGGTTAAACGGGATTAACTATAGAGTTCCTTCCAAGCCTGATATCCTTTACATTTATAGTCAGATGAACTCCCTGCTGTACAATGACCAACATTTTGGAACATAATAAACTGTAGTGACATGCTTTTTTTCTTTTTAAGGATCATTAAATTACCCCTTAATTGAAACTACATTTTATTTTACCCAGGTGTGTGTGTATATGTGTGCCCATGTGTTTGTAAGAAAAGTTCCTAGTTTCAGCCTGTAATCCCAGCACTTTGGGAGGCCGAGGGGAGAGGATTGCCTGAGCCATGGGTTCGAGAACAGCCTGGGCAACTTGGTGAGACCTCATCTCTACAATAAATCAGAAATTTAGCCAGGCATGGTGGCGCGTGCCTGTGGTGCCTGCTACTTGGAAGGCTGAGGCAGAAGGATAGTTTGAGCCCAGCAGGTCGATGCTGGGGTGGCAGTTAGCGTGCCACCGCACTCCAGCCTGGGTGATAGAGTGAGACTCCAACTCAAGAAAAGAAGAAAAAAAAAGTTCCTAGTTTCAGTGGGGGAAAAAAAAATAGGAGTAGGCATTTTAACACATTCTTAGGTGTAAAAGTTACAGGAAGTGTATTATTTTTGGTTAGAATTTATTAGCATCCAATCCAAACTAAACTAAAAAAATTTAGAACGTTAAGAATAACTGCATAAACATTTCCAAGCCTCACTGTTGACACTGTGTGTGTGGGTGTGGGTGTGGGTGTGTGTGTGTGTGTGTGTGTGTGTGTGTGTGTGTGTGTGTGTGTGTGTTTAAAGGCACAGTGTACTATTTGCCAAGCCACTCAAGCAGGCAGATAAGATGCTGTATAAACATGAAAAGGAAGGGCTCGCCATTGCCTGCTGGTTGGTTTTGTATTTGGGTCATTCAGTCTTCTTGTGTTAGTTGCCCATGTGCCTAGCAGTCTTCTCTACAAGACAGTGATTCCCACTTAGAAAGTGCTGGAAGAAATTACCAATTTTTGAGATGGAAACAGTTCCTGTGATGTTTATGGAGAAATAAATCATGCTATTCTGCATCTGAAGATTCTTCTATTAGTTTCATTTCACTGAACAATTCCAGGAAGAAATATAGAAGTGGGTAAAAAATTATGTAACCCAATAAGAGTTATTTAAAAGCTGTAATGCTTTGGCACAGGAGCAGAGGGTGTCTAGTATAATGATAAGGTTAAGAGGCCAGGTAGCTAATCAGGGTCAGGATCTTATTAAATATTGTCTTACAAGCTCCTTCATTTGAACAAATGCTGAAACAATCAGTATTCAAAATTCTTTTCCAAATATTCATCTTGTAAAAAAAGTTTAAATTATCAAAAGCAGTGACTATTATTGTATCCAAAATGAGTAATATAACTAAGTAAGTTCATATAAACTGATAACTTCAAAATCTTGTATCTGGCTGGGCATGGTGATTCACACTTGTAATGCCAGCATTTGGGGAGGCCAACGTGATAGGATCGCCTGAATCCAAGAGTTTCAGACCAGCCTGGACAAGATGACATGACCTCATCCCTATAATGAATTAAAAAATGACCCGTGCATGGTGGCACACACCTGTAGTCCTAACTACTTAGAAGGTTGAGGCAGAAGGATCGCCTGAATCCAGCAGGTCGAGGCTGCAGTGGCAGTAATTGTGCCATTGCACTTCAGCCTGGGCGACAGAGTGAGACTCTGACTCAAAAATCAATCAGTAAAATAAAAACATGTATTCAAGCACAAAACGATAGCATAGCAGTTTCCACCATTTTGACTGGATCAAGGAATAATTGCTCTTCAAATGCTTCTGTAGTTTTTGTTTGCTTTTAATGGTGTTTAGAGTCCAAATTATTTTGCTTGTTCTTGGAAACCAGAGCATTTTGATAGATACTTTAGCTTAAGGGGATGAACCAGAAGCTGTCAGAAACACCCTAAGACAACAGGATACTGCCTGCACCTACAAACTACAGTTTGTATTTGGCAGGATTTCAAAGGTTTCAAAGAGTCTTTTATCATGTTTTTATTGCTATAGTAACTGTCGTTATCAACTTCCATATTTCTTTCATGATTCATTCACCTCGTGTAGGGGGATGTGGAATTTTTTTTTCTAGCTCATATCGACCCTGCAGTCCTCCTAAAATGGTATTACATGTATTTTCTTTTATATTTGCTGAAATATAAGGAATTTGTTTTATGGCTTTATTAAATGTCAGATCACTATGCTTTAACACACTAGATACACAATCAAATATTAATGCTAAAATTTATAGAGTATTTAAATTGTGTAAGCCTATTTGCTATGTAAATAAAAATAATTACTTAAACTCAAATAACAGTAGGGGCAAAATGAAAACAGCCACTTTCAGAGAAATCACTATAAAAGAATTCCTACAAGTTAGTAATATTTAGGTAGATTTAGTTTTGAATTTGATTTATGGTGACGAGCATTTTCTTCCAAGTCTGTAGCACTCTCTGCAAAGAACTGTTTTCATTTCATTTTTAAAGTCCTTTTTTCTAACCCTTTGTGTAATATATCTGGGGAAAATATTTCATTGTAGATTAGGCTATGAGTTGACATTTAATGTCTCTAATCAAGATATTACCTTAGGTGATTTATGTATAGCATCGTATGATTCATTTTATTACACAAAATTTAAAACATACTTCTTGTAACATAAAAAGGCAATTCCTATGAAATTCATACAATATTTAAAAAGCAAAATAGTTACACTTGATTGTTAGTACATCAGAATTCAGAAGTAACATCGTTTCATAAACATAAAATGTATTCAACTGATTCTCAATACATAGGGACTTATTTTATGGTTTGTTGATGAAATGCATCAATTTGATGCAGCTTTTGGTACAAAATCTACAACTACATGATTTAATGGTAAAGGTATGTGCTTTATTTATATATTTTATTCAATTTTATTTTCATTTTCTTTTTTATAATAAAACCTGTTCAACTCAAGTCAGGCTACAAAATAGATACCTGCACACTTACATTTGTTGCAGCTCTATTCACAATAGCAAAACATGGAACCATGCTGCCCATCGAAGCTGAACTGGATTTTTAAAATGTGGTACATATACACAATGGAATATTATTCAGCCATAAAGAAGGACAAACATATGGACTTCGCAGCAACTTGGATGGATTTAGAGCTGATCATACTCAGTGATCTATCACAAAAACAAAGAACAGTACCATATGTTCTCACTCTTAAGTGGACCTTGAGCAATTATTATAATACTATGAGAAAGGGATTGGCAGT